CCCAGCTCTTAAGTAAATACCTGGGCAGAAATTGTAAAATGGCCACCCAGAGCATGGAAAAAATACAACCGGCCAAGCCAGCCTGTTTGGGTGATGTCAGTGTGGAAGTAACAGGGCTTCCCAGACTTATTGTTTTTAATTACCAGGCTTGGACATTCCTCACTCAAGTGTTCCTTCTCACTGTGGAGCCATCTAAGACTTAGATAATTTTTCTCTCTTTGCTCAGCATGCCAAGCAAGGTCCTTTTCCTGCAGCTTCTAGCAGAATAACAAAAATAATTGGCAGCTACAACACACAGCTCGGACTTTGGCCTGAAAATAACTTCTCTGCTAAAAACATGTCCCATTCCTTATTGCTTAGCTAGTAGTTTATCACATAATTGCAGACTGAAGACACCTGCACATTTCTGCGGAGGTTTTCCTCAGTATTTATTTTCTTTGCAAACACAAAATGCCTCCTCCATGCCTCAAAATAAGACTTTTTGTATAATACATCATGACACCACTGATAGTTCTTACAGCATTATTTGTCATGGTTTCCGCTATCAGCCAGATGAAAAGTCAAACAGAACACAGAACCATTTGAATCTAAGCTTTGTTGGTCAGCATCCAGCAACTTTGACCACACTTGTTACTTTAGCCATTATTTTCCTATGGAAAAACTATAAACAGAGTGATAGTAGGAGAAATTTGAAAGTGAAGTCTACACAGCACCCAGAGGCAGGCTTACAGTCTCAGCACCTCTCCATACCAGAATCCCTCTCTTCTGACTGAGCAGCACTATTACCATACAGGCAAAATCACATGCTACTGACGTGCTGCTGCAAAGTATGAGATGTTTTACTTCAATCACCTCCATGGACAAAAAGATGTTTCAGGCTCAGATCAACTTAGAGGATTTGAGTAGCTCTCAAATCATTCCAAGCACCATCTGCTTTTGTGTATTTCCTTCTCCTGTACCAATGGTTTTGATCTGGAATTGTTTTCTTCCACTCACAGATTTTGCTTTCTTTTCATATTTTACCTTCCTCTGAATACAGCTCTCTAGCAAATTTGTTTGTTATCATCCAACACATTCAGAAATTGATCGTGGCTCCAGCAAATCTAACTCCCAGCATTTTCTAGCTTTCAGTTTTAGACATATTAATATTCTCTTGAACACTATTATTCACCTGTATATCAGTATGCAAATAATACAGAGAGGTTTCAGCACACTTCAAAGTTACTCAGAATTAGAGACTGCCTCGTTGACCATTCACTTGTCAAGTATGTAATGACTTTTGTCAAGACATGCTGAGGAAATTACATAGATACTCAGCAGAAAAGCTTTAACTATTACCTTAGCATTTTTAACAAGTTAAAATTATGTGGTTAAGTCGACTTTTATTGAGTTTATCCTTTACTACCTTGCAATTGTTTGTATTTTTTCTTCAGCCTTGAGAAGATAACTTTTATTTTCTTCTTTGTCTGTCTGGTGAAACTGCTCTTTCCTGGTTCATATTGAGCTGAAACAATCAGCACTGGTTTTAGCTTCAACCACTCTGCATTCTGAGGCTGTGCTTACCGTGTCATAACTATTGTCTGCTCAGTAACAACAGTGTTATTGTGGGAACAATCACCTCCAGACTGAACCAAGTCCAAGTGAGCTTGGCCCAACCTGAAGGAGGTGAAAGAGGCAAAAAAGGCCATGGGACAACTCTGCACCTCTCAAAGCCCAAAAACAAGGAACAGTCCAAGAACAGTCTGAGAAGCGCGAGAGACCTATGAGAGCATGTGCTGTGCTGGCTCCTTCTACCTGTGAACTCTCAACACTTCTTTTATCTCCTCAGTCTGTATTGGTCACACTCTTGCAAACCTCTGCATTGGACCCTCTGGAGAGGTGACACAATCACAGCTATTCCTACCAGCCAGCTGCCTAAGATGGTGGGATACCTCCATAGGCTCCACTGTCAAACATGGGCTGTGCTGAAAGCAGGACCTAGTCCAATACAGTGTCTGTGGCATCCTCCAGACTTCAGCTGTAAAAATGCAAAAGGTACATAAGGGCTCCACAAAAAAATTCTGCTGATCAGACTTGTTCCAGCCTATGAACACTGTCACTTGAGCCACCATGGTGACAATACGAATGCAAACTCATACTGCTGTCTCTAATCGCACATCATGCCCCAAAAGGCTTCCAGGAACCCATCTACTGAGAACATGCCAAGGTAAGTAACATGGGTTCCTGGAAAGTCTTACAATAAAACTAGCCAGTAGTAGTATGGACACAGAGCAAATGTGCTTCAGAGAGATCAGCACAGTCAGTGTGGTGTACTGAAGACAGTCACGTGTGTCCATTTTGCCAAGCTGGCTAAAATTCACGTTATTTAGCTTCTCTGGTATAAGTGTATTGTGCACACTGACACAGACTACTCACACACTTAGTGTACTGCTGCTATAGAACCAAGGTGGCCACAATGGGATCCTGCTTGTATCCCCATGAATATGAGACCTTAGCAAAGCTGCAAATACAAAAAAATAAGGGGGGGAGGGAGGGGGGAGAGACAAAATAAGGTGGGGAGAGGAAAAAAAGAAAGGCAAGGCAAAAGCTACATTAATCACCATCAAGATAAACCATCTTGGGTTAACAAGATAAACTTCCTGGGTTAGATGTCGAAGATACTTCACAACTTCCTGTTAAAACCAGAGCGTCAGTGCAGATGGGAGTTTGAAAATGAAGCCCCTACTAACATTAGCAATACAGCTCAAACTGTCTTACTGCCATGTGAAATACACAAGTCACAGAACTACGCTTTCTCCTCCATTTTATCTTCAAAACATTTACAGACCACTCCGAAGCATTAGAAACCCAGGCATTCAATGCATAAAATGCATGTCTGAAAGGTTAAAGAAATCCTCTAGCAAAAAACAAAACAAAACCAAACAAAATCAAACCGGAATTTGTGTAGGCTTAGGCAAGAAACATGTTTTACTTCCTAGTTTCATTCTATGTTAGACATCGCAGCACCCAGGATTTGAAGACAAAGCATTGGTAACACTTACATACTAGCAACAACTCAGTAATCACCAGATTGCTGCACCATCTCTTCATCTTGTCCAGGACTGCTGAGCTTTAGTCCTTGTGTTATGATCTTTCTTACAGAACAACAGCTGTATCTTCCATTTCCTTTGTGTAATTTCCATAACATGTTGTTGTCATCTATTAGAATTATTTCATGCACATACACACACAATCAATTTTTTTAGCTTGCAAGCACTGCAAACAGCCCTTAATATTACAGTAAATGATGAAATGTTTCTTTCTTGTTCTCTCTCATATCCTTCTTGGTCAAAGGATTGAAGAAGAGAAAACAGAAGCAGTAACACTCCCTCTTCATAACTACAGCCATTCAGAGGCCCAGTATGCAGTTTAATGTGATGTATGTCTAACCCAAAAGACTTTACTATTGTCCTCTGTCAGCATAATGGTTCTCCTTCTTGTAAGACTGCAGTGCCACCAGCCACATTAACACTAGTGCAGGAATGTTTATAGATTTAGCATAAAGAAATCTTTTCAAAGAAAGACACTGCAAACACTAGAACTGAATGCTGATACAAATGGACCCATGGATACAGTGGAAATACTGTATGAGAAGAGATAAAGGAGAAATGTGAAAATATTTATCCCTACATATTTTATAGGGTGCAGGAGTTAATCTAGAACTAACCTATTCTGGTTATTTCTACATACTGCAGCACAAATGGTTAGTTTTCTTAGGGAATTATTTGAGCAGAGGACACTACTGTGATACCATATTAAAAGAAGTTAATTTGCCCAAAGTTCCTTAGACACCTGAGGTAACTCCTAGTGACACCATTTACAGTCAAGTTGGAAAGCAGAAACATGTAGGAAGGTGAAGCTGAAAAAGTCCTAAGGGAAACTAATTTACATTATTTTAACGCCTATTAAAGTTACCACAGAAAGCTGCTAGCTTGAAGTCTGACGAATTTATATTGAACAGCATTGATGATATATGATTTTATGTAAAGTACTACACAAAATTACATAGATTTACATGCAGTACAGAAAAAATATCTGTAGACACACTTTGCATGTGTACCAAAACCTGAAATTTCAGCACAAACATACATGCCTGTGCTAGCTGTGTCACAGGTCAGAGCTGTAGTGACACAGCAGGGTGGAAAGTAGAGAGGACTAGGTATTTCTAGCCCATGAAAGGAACTGTTCTTTCCACAGTGGTGAAAGCAAAAGGGTAAACAGACATTTAGCTTATCAGCAAAGCACAAGTCTACCCTTTTAGGACTACATGTTCATTTGCAGTGAAGACACATGCTCAAAAGAATGTAATTTATCTCCTGAAAAGATAGTCCAGGCTCATTTCTAAGGGCAGCTGATGTTTGTTAATGAACTGGAAGAAACTGGGCTGCTTTTAAAGAGGAACTTTATGATCTGATATTATTCCACAGTAAGCTAGACAACATGATTTCTAACGTCTAACGTCAGTTTAAGAGCCTGGATGCTAATAAGTTACACAGGTTTAAAAAAATGACTGGACAAACAAAGCCAGAGGGGAAATCAGGTACTGGGGTTTATAAAAAACAAAGGCAACAACTCCAGTATCAAATGTTGCCGAAGTACAAGTTTTTGTAGGATGAGAATGTATGCGAGGAGGTATCGCTACACATTGTCTTACATGCTCTTTCCTAGCCATTATTCAGTGCCATTACTGTAATTAAGCTGTCAAATCACTCTGTAGACAATTACATGCCACAGAAATGAGAAAGAGCTTATCCATCTCTTAATCCTCTTTGCATCTGGATGGAGCAAAATCTCCTGCATTGAGTCAAGTTAAGGCATCAGCTCAATGCCTTAACTGGCAGTGCTCCACTATCCATTTCTTTGGAATGTCTGCTTTTCAGCCATACATCTCCCACATCCCTCCCTGCTGGACTAGTGCCCACCTCAGCCTAATACCTCAGCGGTGGTGCCCACCCTTTTACCAGACCATGCTGGTGCTGGCACTTGGCCCCACTTCCTTCCAGAAGCTCACCCATGCTAGGGAATGAGGTGTTCCACTGGAGCACGACGTGCCTTCGCATCACGATGGTTACCATTACTGGTAATGGCAAAAAGTTGTTAATACTCACCGTCGCCATCAGCTACCATTATCAAGGTAACACCACTCGGTGCTTCGAGCAAGTGGTGTCACCCTGGGCTCACATGGCATTGTCTGAGCGCGTTGCTGCCTTGGGAAGACGCAAAGGCGGTTTCTGACAGACCATAACGCTTCAATTTGCCAGAGGAACCTGGATTTCCCTTCTCCCGCGAGCAGCGAGAGGCAAAACCGCGGCGGCCAAAGCGGCAACGCGCAGA